TAGTAGATGGTCACTGCTTGAAGAAAACTTATTTGAGGGCCTGATTGGACAGGTTAGTGTATGAAAACTCTGCCTAGTTTTACTCATTGTGTCATGTGTCATGTGTTCATGGGAGGAAAAATAGAGAAGTCTGTTAGGCAGGTTTTATGATTTCTTAATAAGTCATCCTAAATTTTAAAAAATTTTTAAAAAGTTGTACTCCAAAATTGTGTGAAATTAGATGTTTGGCACTCAGAATTTAACTTTTAAATTAAAAAAATATTGTAATTACAATATTATAAATATTGTACACTTCATAAAGCAATATTACTCTGATTATTTTTATCTCATTTCATATGTGGTATTTAGAAGTGTAGGTAGACCTACAAGAGCCTGTTTAATTCATAATATATCTAAAAATACTAAAATATACCCACCATATATATAACAGTCATTTGGGGGAAATGCATTTAGCACTGCTATCTGGAACATCAGGGAACACATACTTCCATGCCTCCAGCCTCCTGCACATCTTTCATAGTGAGATCGGGACTTCTCCTTTTACTGTCAGACCTGAGAAGTGTGATTTATACTCAGGTTCTTGGTGGCCCATGGCAGAATTGGGAGGATTCCAGTTGGGAGTGGCTGGGGAGGTGCTCGTCCACTGCACTACACTGCCCTGCCATGCCTGGATTTTAGGCTGCCTCCTTGACCCTACAAAGTAGATATTATTCTCCCTGTTTCAGAGATGAAGAAACTGAGGCCTTACGAAGTTTAGTCACTTGCCTAATGTCTGTACAAAATTAATCGGGGGCAGAACAAAGATTTGAACCCAGGGCTGTCTGCCACCAGTGCCTGTGCTCTCTCTGCTAACCATGGTGCTTTGTTTCTCACTGTCTTTTTCACAGCTTTCCCCTGCCTCTCTGCCCAGGAAGCAGCCAGATTGTACCTTTTGAGTTGTCTAGGGGACCATAGTGGTAATGACCGTAGAGTCTGTCAGACCTGAGTTCTTACCTAATAGTATGACCTTGGGCAAATAATTTAAGCTCTCAGAGCCTCGGCTTCCTCATCTGTAAAATGGGAATAATAGCTGCTTTGCACACTTGTGCAGACTAAATGACACTGCCCATGAGCACTTTACGCACTTCCCACTACATGGCACGTGCTCCCTACCTGGTGGCGGTAACTATTGTTGCGGTGCTTGTTATTGGATTGTAATAAGAGCACAAAAGATGGGAGACCATTAACAAGGTACCTTCTTCCTTCTCCTTGCTTCTCTTTTTCCTCTTATACACTATAGGAAAACACGATAGGGGGTATAATGATGGGTCTTCTGGTCCACAAAGGTCTGAAGTGAAATAAATTTACAATTCAGAGGGGCCTCTATGTTTGGGGACTCTCAGGTCCTTTGAAGAGGGGAGTAGGTATGGGGTGAGGAAAAAGAGTGTGGGATACTGCTTGGGGGGCCAACTAGGGTGAGAGGAATGGCAGTACAGAGGGGAGAAGCCAATTGTCTCCTTCCGAATGCCGCCGTCAGACTCCCATTCACCCATCGGGTGGCATTACTATGAGGTAAGAAGCCGCACAGTGTAGCAGCAGGGCCTGCCTCCAAGTAGCACGTGGAAAGGAGCCACCACTGGACATTTGGCCAGGTCAGCTGTCAGCTGCCAAAGGACACAAAAGTCTAGGACCGCGCATGTATGTTTCTTGAGTGATAATCTCAGTAAACTACATGAAAATTTAATATGTGTAGTAGAGAACTTTGCATATGAGAACATGTTCCATTTTCAACAATAATGATTTATTTGGAAAATTTAAAGCTGTTTAAAGTGTACGTGTCTAGTAAGCTAGTGAGTTCTAATACTGATCTGTTTCTAATTCTGTAAATTAATTCAAGTAAATTTCTGGCTGTCAATGACTTTCTTTTCCTGCTCTGCTCTCAGGAAGAAGACAGCTTCCTAGAAAAGGTAATGCAATCCATGGGTGGTTATGTGTTTCCTGGGCTTGATTAACAGTTAACTGTGGTTCCTGGAATCTGTCCGTAGTCTTTCCCATGTCAGAGTCCTCTGACTCCACGAGACTCCACCAAAGTCCTGTCAGCTATCTCTTTAAGTGTGTCTGCAGGCACAGAAGAGATTTTTGCTGCACCCGTCATCACTGAGACCCAGTACATAAAAGCAGTAGGACTCAAGTTCCAGATTTGTATGTTTAAAATGAGAAGTAATTAAGAGCTGTCTTGATATATCTGAAAGCTCATGAGGTGGAGGAGGGTACCACTTAGCTGTCCTCTGTTTCCAGTGATAGTCAAACCAGAAGTGGATTTCTGTTGCATTAAGAATGATTTGGGGTTAGTGGCAATAATGATTAATTACTGAAAGAGTACACAGATGTATGGTTAAGAAACAGAGCATAGAGTCATCGAGCTGAACGAGATCAGAAGGGATCATCTGGTCCAGTGCTGTGCCTTCAGACAGGGTAAGGTGTTTTCTCCATTCTAATAGACAAGACAACCAAGGTCCAAGAAGGTTGAAACACTCAAGTCCTCGTGCTCCTGACAGCAGGGATGTGGGGCAGAGGGGACTAGAACCCAGGCCTCCTGAATACCTAGTGAAGGAAGCTAGTGAAGCACTCCTGCAGTCCTGGGCCACCTTCCGTGTTCAGACTGGAGGGTGTCTGGCTCCATATAGGCCTATCAAGTAGAGAAACATGGGCTTGAAAAACATTCTTAAAGCACTGTCACATACTATCTAATGTGATCTCCCCATTTGGTGGAGTTTAATGCATTTTGATGATGGGGATGGTGTACTGTTTTCTGCAGTAATTATTAGCACTATGGTTTCAAAGTGTGGGCTTATCAGGCACCAGATGTGTCTTGTTGAAAGAAAACAAAGTGTGCCTGATTTCCCTTTGAAAATTAGAATTCAGGATAATTTGTGGACTTTTGAGAAAGTATTGTTTCTTGTGCATGATCTTTCTCTAGACTTTAGAGACACAAGTATGACATTTTGTATTATCACACATGAATTTGAAAATGGATAGTGGGTGATGTATATAACCTACTGACATTTTATTAACCTTTTTAAACCACTAAGGATTGAGGCGGTTCTGCTTCCCAGCCCTTCCTTGTTAATAGCAGGCCATGTTGAAAATTTCATCTCAGACAGTGCCTTGTATTGCCTTAATGCCTTAGTACAAGAAAAGCGCCAGTTGGATGTCAAGTTTTTTTAAAAGTACATGAATCAGTGCTGAATAATTTATATATGGTAAGTTGGGAGGCATCTGCTAAATCTATACACGTGTTGCATTTGGTTCAGAAAGTGAGCAGAGTGCATTATGGACAGTGCTTTGATTCAGATACCATGTGGATGCCTGGATTTAATACTTGCAACCGGAAAGAAGTTAGTTAGATGAGCCACTCATAGAAATTCTGGCAGCTACAGGGAACATGAATATCAAGTGATAGAATCCCAGGGAAAGAAAGAAAGGAAGCAAAATGAATGTGAAGAAAGTAGATTTTAAACAGTAACCAACTGTCATGCTCTTTTCTCTTCTTATTCTCTTAGAAAGGTACAGCGGCTTTAAAAGGTGACCAGTGCTTATTGAAGAACATAATGTTAACCAGAGCCCTTAGCTCTGTTCTAGTGTACACAGTCTCTGCAAGTAGTGAAACACTTCTTTTCTTTTCCATAAAGCAACATGGCTGGGGGTTGGGGATGGAATTTACAGAATTGCCTAAAGTTGAAAGTACACAATATATAACCCTTAAGCTGGAGGTAGAAAAGGGGGGGAAGATGCAAAAAATTGCTCACCATTTTCTCCACTAGGATTTTTCTGAAGGCTGCCTTCATATGACTTTTAATCTGTTTCAAACACCTTTTTATTTTTTTTAAGGATTTTATTTATTTATTTGACAGAGACAGCGAGACAGGGAACACAAGCAGGGGGAGTGGGAGAGGGAGAAGCAGGCTTCCCGCGGAGCAGGGAGCCCGATGCGGGGCTCAATCCCAGGACCCTGGGATC